ATTAAACGGTAGTGCCCTTCTCCGTGGGACATGAGTCTGGCTCGGCAGCGCCAGCCATCTTTGCCTCATCTCGCCTACTGTCTTCCAGACTATGTCTTGACACCTGGCAGAGATGGGCAGATAAGTTAGAGAGTGTGCTCAATGAAAGGCAGATCTTCTATCGCGTAAAACTTATTCACGCCTAAGTCACCGTCCCTGCTTATCCTTGCAATTCCCAGTGGACATCGTCAAAAGTGACGTTCACAATATCGTCTGACTGACACTGATTTACGATCGCTCATTCCAGTTTGCACGGTCTTCCCTGCTATGGCTTCGCCATTACGGAATGAAATACGCATATGTGCAACATGAAAAATTGGGCTGCTACCTCCTACAAATAACAATGATAGGCCAAAATATTTTAAATCCTTACGATGGCTTCGTCCCAAGCACTGAGCCCTTCATTCTTGGAGGCACCTGGACCGATGTAAACATAGAGAACATCGATATCCTCGACGAAGGTTACGTCATCTGGGTTGATACCGTCGCGGTATATATTTCCGCTGTAGACCTTTGTCAGAATCAGTTTGCCTGTCTCGTCAGAGAGACTTAAGTGGGGAAAACAAAAGTCGAGTAAGATTTATGTTTTGGTATTGGTCAACAATTCTAGGAAAATCCTGCAGCAATCTTACTAGGTTCCTATATATTCACCCATTTAGTTTATTGGTATTAGAAAATAATGTCCTCTTTCAATGACAGTCACTGTCACAACACGTTTAGTTAAATCGGAGTTCATCGGTGCCTAGTCAACTCACAATGGCCGTGACTTTATTACACCTAATTCCTTTTTTTCCTGGCGAATTTGGAGAAGCCTAAGTTCAATGAGCATTAGAAGAATAAAGATCGTAATTCAGCGCTAATAGAACACAAAGATACAATAACACTAGGATACAACTATCGGTAGCAGGTTGTCATAAAATATTTGCCTCCAGAACGATTAGGAATACCTCTTCAGTGTGCCTTTTAAATAATATTGCTCATATATATTTCATTGACCCAAACAGACAGCTGCATGTAATATACAAAATCTCACGTTTTAGGTAAAGGCTTTCAACAAACATCTTATTTTGAATGTCTTGGTAAGCATATAGAACAGAATCTGCATTTATGGACAACCGATTGAAGACATTGAAAAGCGTTAAGTGTTTACCATTTATAAAGGACGATCTGACGGTATTATTATTACGATATTAGGAAGTAATATGACGGAATATACACCAAATGATGTGTTTACTATTGCACTTCATAAATTCATTTAAAGTTATTAGTCATTGGCACGTATGTCAAGATGTGGGCTTATGAACTATCTTACTCCTGTGACGTCTTAACTGATGCAATCAATCGGCAATCTGGTTGCCTTCGTCCCACATATCTCAAAGCACCTTCAGAACGAAGAAACAATATGCAATTCTAGTTGGATTACGTATTTGAATTTCCGACTGTTTGCTAACAGCCGAAATTTACGGTTCGTGTAATATGGAGGCATATCTAACCGAAAATTTCACAGAAGGATTATCGTTAAACGGACTTCTCCTTGTGTTGATTAATTTACCCGATTTTGTGCACGGACATACTTGATCTACATTTAAAAATAAGCTTTATTCCGTAACTCTATTTTCCCTTTTCCCGAATTTTCCGGTACTCTTAACTGAGTCTTATTTCTAAACAACGTAATATTACTCGATAAACCAAAGCATTTCTTCTTTTTCATTGTGACGTTTACTCTACTGTTTTAGGACTTTGGAGGACACAGTTTGGGCTGCTTTTGTGTACCAAAGTTTTTCTTGCAAAAATCCTTGGATTTAGTGAGCTAAGGCAGCCATTTAATATCATATAGATGAAGTGGAAATACCATAGACAAGGGAGACCGGACTGGCCATTTCTGGCTTATAAGCCGTCAGCAGCGAGTCATGCGCAATCCTAAATGTGAATCGCCAGGGATTCGAACCCGAGACCTTTGGTCATTGAGCTTACTTATCTACCATTGCAACACGGGCTCGTTGCTGTGTCGGTTGAGATCGGGAATATGAGGAAAACCTGTGGCTGGCCGATCTGGCTAAGGAACATGTACGTTCCGTTTTTGCTCTGGAGCGCATTTTTGAAACTGCGCAGGCAGCCCCATAGCGACTACTTGGAAAGACTGAAGTGGTGCGCTGATAGGGTATTCAACTCAATGACCAAAGGCCCCGGGTTAAATTCCCGGCCGACCCACACCTGGGGTTGACTATGACTGGATGGTAACAACTAATAAGCCGGAACTGGCAGTTCCGGTCTCCCTGACCTCTGTTGGCCCCACTTCATCCTCTCCGACTAGTTGCTATGTAGCTGTCTGCTTGGGCTCTAAAGTAAGCTCAGAGGCGTAAACGGACGAACAAGTTCCTTACTCAGATCGGCGAGCCTCACATATACATATATATTCCCTCAGGAATAGGCACATACCGGCTAAATGAAGGCAAATAAGCCCAAAACAGGTCTGTGTCAAGTTATTCCCAA